ATGTAGGAAGTCAGGATTCGTTTTATTCTGAAAATGCGACGCTCGCACCTGCGGAAGCAGCGACAGCCCCAAAGAGCCGCAGGCGCTGCGACGCGCATGTTGTCGGGGGCTTTGGCTTCTCCCAGCCACAGCCGAGCCGCCGCTGCGCGCGACAGCCACGCCGCCGCTCTCCTCTCCCTCCCGCCGGCTCTCTCCCCCCGCCGCTTTTCACGCCTTTCACTATCATCATCCCCCCCGTTAGGTTTGCCAGAACCGTCGTTAAGAAGGAGAGAGAGATCTTTGAACCTTAATGGACGACGCGGATATCATGGACCTGACGCACCAGAAAGCGAAAAAGCGGCCGCGTCCAATCAGTTCCGTGGACGAGTCCGTGCACGCTCCGCTCAAGAGGCTCCCGATGCGGGCGACGGAGTGCCGGGAGCCCGCCCTGATGTTCGCTGTCAGGGGGGAGCCTGTTCCCGCAGCCTCCCTCAAACAGAATGACCACTCGCTCACCTCCTCTCCGACCACAGTCATGCCAGCGCAGGTAACTCTCAAATACGGATTTCAAAGTTATTTTCAAACAACTTGGCTCTAGTTTGGCTCTGATGGATGCATTTACGCGCCTGTCGCGCGCATATTCTGCTCTCTGCTCGTGTGCCTTTACAGCCATTTTAATCTTATTTTTGGTTTTACTCAAGAGAGTAAAACTTTTATTTTCTTTTCCAAAAAGTGTTTTTTTTTTTTTTCCCCTCTCTGTCTGCTAATTGTGTTTATAGGTTAATATAATACAGTTTGAGTTCCCCCCCCACCCACCCCCACCCAAAATCCTATTATGGTATTCAAATCAAGAGCCATTATTGTTGCTCATTTCCAAGAGAGATTGATGCTCCAAATTAATTTGGTTTTGCAGATTATGGCCCACAGCAGGAGATGCTTGTAGACTGTGGCAACATTCAGGTCAAGGTCAGGCTGCTGTAGTCAAAAAAAGAACACAAAATCTAACTCCTGCCTTTGGAGTGAGAAGTAGGTTGCGTTGAATTAGATTTGCTTTGACAGTTGTCGTTCCCTTGTTTTAAAAAACCCTTTTATTAATTTGTTTTTCCTGAAACATTGTCTGCTTTTGTACTCTTGCAGGATAATCGCTCCAGCATGTCCAGACCCATGATCACACGGTCACCTGTGTCTCCCTTGAGTAACCAGGGCATCCCTACCCCTGCACAACTCACCAAGTCCAACGCCCCCGTGCACATTGACGTAGGCGGACACATGTACACCAGCAGCCTGGCCACCCTAACGAAATTCCCAGAATCGCGGTGAGTCTCAAAGAAGAGTCCTTTGAATGAGGCATGAAAATGTTAGAGTTTAGTCCATTCACATGTTTGTCTGACATAATTTCCTCAGCGTTTAATGTCATTATGCGACAGTTAAAGGTCACACGGATCTCTTGAACGCACTTGGAATAGATTCTGGTTTGTAAACTATGTGGTGCCGATTGCTTTTTCCCCATTCAAGGTGCTTGAAAACACATCTTCTTGTGGAGTTCTGTTGAGGGGTAAACAATATGTAGGAGCAGAAAGTGCAGACTGCAGAGCTCAGACAAAAGCAACTTGGTTATTCTGACAGATGTCACAGCAGCAGTAAAGAGCCAAAGGGCGTAGAGCCATCTGGGGGCCGGAAGGCCACGCTGTCGCTCCGAGAGCAGGCCTGAGGGTGACTGGCACCCGGCCTCAGGCAAACCAAGCACCAGCTGGCCCTGACCTCTCCAGACCACACATTTCTGAATCTCTTCACTTTTCTTTTCAGAAACCTTCCCTTACAGAATGTTTAGTTAGCTTTTAGATACTGTTGAGAACTTTTGTTTTCAAATGTTAATACATACATGTAATAATTCTGACATGTTACTTCCTCTATACTACCCTCCCTTTTTGCCTCCCCTCCCCTCCTCCCTGCCTCTCTGTGCAGAATCGGTCGCCTCTTTGATGGCACAGAGCCTATAGTCCTGGACAGCCTGAAGCAGCACTACTTCATTGATAGGGATGGACACATGTTCCGCTACATTCTCAACTTCCTCAGGACGTCCAAGCTCCTCATTCCAGACGACTTCAAAGTGAGTGGATGTCCATCGTGAAGCTGTATAAAGTGCCATCAGTCAGTCAGCAGTCCTGCAACTTAGTGCACACAATAAATGCCAGAGCGGCTTTGGTCACCGGTCCAACTTGATTTGCTGAAAACCTCTGCCGTGTTGGAGGCAAAACACATATGGGTTTGTGTTCAAGTGTCCATCCATGGTGGCTCTCACAGCATGTGCCACATTAGCATTCCATCATTTCACTCATATGTGTCATTTAGTCAGTAATTACTAAACTTGCCCGGGGAGAAAACAAATAAGCACATTATCTGATGGACTGTCCACAGTGCAAGTCAATCAGTGGAAAGCTGCCAGTTAAAATAAGCAAAGGCTCAAGTTCAGGCAAAGGCCATTTTCACATTTGGAGGATTTTGAGAGAAGCATGGGAAAACTGGAGTGTCGTGCAGCCTAAACTCTACCATCCACATGGAAACAGAGGTGTTCTTCTAACAGTGCAACTATGCTATACCTTGATCATTTTTGTAATGATTGCTGAATAGCACTTACTGTCTGTTTGGTATGGTATGACCCTCCAAATGACTTTTTTTTTTTTTTTACTGTATAGCTCCAGAAACAAGTCTTGAGTTAAAATACTTTGCTTATTCTTCCGTTATGTCTTGCCCTATAGTATTGCTAAGTGTACTGATTATCATTTAAGATGTAAAAACAGTCAAGTGCTCTTTTCTTTTTGCGGGATCCTAAGATGTGAACCCTCTCTGACTTGATTTCCCCAGGACTATAGTCTGCTGTTTGAGGAGGCTCGATATTTTCAGCTGCAGCCCATGTTGGTTGAGCTGGAGCGCTGGCGCCAGGACCAGGAGCTGGGCAGGGTCTCCCGCCCCTGTGAGTGCGTAGTTGTGCGCGTTGCACCCGACCTGGGCGAGAGGATCACACTTAGCGGTGACAAGGCCCTAATTGAAGATGTTTTTCCTGAAATCGGCGATGTCATGTGCAACTCTGTCAACGCCGGGTGGAACCATGACTCCACACACGTCATCCGCTTCCCACTCAACGGCTACTGTCACCTCAACTCTGTCCAGGTAACGGGCCCCTTATGTGATGATGTGGTTTCTGTGCTTTTGATTACAAGCATTTTAGTTAAATGTTAAATAAGTAATACTGACGTATAGACAGTTTGTGATGACGAACGTGTTTCAAACAATGAGGTGATCTGTTCATTTAGCAACTTTTTATGTGCTGTTATCTGATTGTACCTTTTTAATCTGACCAGAAAACCCTTGTAGAAGAATGTGTTCTTTGTTGAAACAATCGAAACATTGATTTATCAAGTCATTATTGCATGTTTGCCACAATCTTCATCCCTGTGTGGTCTGATGACAATAACTTTGGCTCCTCAGCTGGTAGGTCAGGTTCAGTGCCTTACTGCAACACCAGCTTTATGAAATATTTGCTCTGAAACTGATAAAAATGTCCAAATTTTAAAAAACTGCCTGACATGAAGTGGAAAGAAACAACTCAGAATTCAGTAAAAACACTCAGATGACCTTTAAATGATGTTTCTCTCAGGTGTTGGACCAAGTCATCTCTTCTGTTTGGGGTTTTACTGATGAATTTAACAATGTTTAATCTGGAAAGCTGTCACATGTGTCACTCAGATAAATGCTGCTTTCTGGAGAAGTCAGTAAGGAAACTAAAGTCTTGTTGAGTCCTGTAGACGTAATTTTAACAAATATTAAAAATCAAAAAAGGTGTAGATATTGCCTCATCTTTTTTTGCACCTCTGCTTGTTCAAGCATGTTCAAATACAAAAAAAAAAAAAAAACTTTTATCCACAATATCTGTTTTATTTAAAATATGCATGCTTGAAGTGCATACAACCTGTGCAGATGTGGGAGATTAGTAATTTCCCTTCACTCCGACCCACAAAAACTCAAATTCAAAATGTATTGATTATTTTGAAATATTATTGGATCAGTGCTGAATAAAATAGAACATTTTAGTGTATTTTAATCACCTTTTTGCTAGTTTATGTGTGCTTATAACAGTGAAAATGCAACTTTTAAGGCACCCCTTCTCCACCTATATGTGAATTAGTTTATAATTTTCTTAATAAAACAAAATGTCTTTGTACTGATAAATATTCTGAAGTATCAGGGGAAATAATTATATTATTTTATATAAGCAAAACTAGATATTCTGAGTCTAATTCTGCCATGGGTGATTAGATATTTGTATAAATTATTTTCCTAACATCATACTTGATTTTACCTGTTTATGAAAAAAAAAAAAAACATGCATACTGCATCAACATATTCCCTCATTCCTAAACTCCATTGTTATAATCAGCTTGAATTTGGCAATAATTCATGTTTTGTGATTACATATTGATACTCCACTGACTCATTAATGGTAATATCCTCAAATATGCATCAATAACTCATGAAGGGGAGGCAAATTAGAGAAGATTTCACAAAGATTTGGATTGCGTCTCCATCCGAGGAAGTCAAATCTTCCAAAAACACACAAACAAAACCCGTCTCTGAAGTGTGCAAGTAGTGAAGAGCAAGCAAGAGAGTGAGCATGCTCCCTGGCAGGTTGTCCCCAGGCAGGGCCCATAATCCTGTTTGGTTATTAAAGCTTGCCGGCAGTGAATGCTGTATCTGCGGCTAATGGAGGCAGCGAAGAGGGGGAGGAAGGGGAGCAGAGAGAGCTGCCAGCAGTAGGGGGACCTTTGTAGTTTTGGCGGAGGCTTGGGCCTGGGGGGAGAACCAGGGAGGGAGGAGGTTTTGCTGAGCAGCCCGTACTGAGCCAAGTGGCAGAGAGAACGCCTCACTGCTCCCTGGGGCCTCTTCGATGGAATGTGATCCTACAGCCCCCCTGGACACGTCTGTAGATGTCTGCAAGGCTGCAAGATCAGAAACAGCTACACACACCCAGAGACAAACACACACACACAAACAATGAAAGAGAGGCATGAGGCAATATGAGAAGCTCTTTGTTTTGTGAAAGTCTTGTGAAAATCTCATCCAAATTCCCATCACAAGCCGTATGTTGCCGCAGCGTAGACCCAAAGCTATTTTCAGTGCTACAGTTAGCGCTGAGGCAGGAGCAGGTTATTTCAGTTTTGTATTTTCCAGCCTAGTAGCAAAAGGTTAGCTAGAAGGTAAAAGTAGCAAAATTATACTGTTGTCCTTTAGTTACAAAAATAACTAAAAGTGACTAAACAATAAAAGGATCAAAATGCTAACTCAAAGCTAAAGTTTTAGCAAGACACTAGCTAAAAGTGGGAAACTGAAAGCTAAATGTAGCAAAAGGCTACCTAAAAGCTTAAAATGGAAAAGACTAGCGAAAAGTAGCAAAACAATATCTAGAAGATAAAAATAGCAATAGTTAGTTGTTAGCTAAATGTAAAATAGATGTGCTAAAAGCAAGTAAAGGATAGCTAAAAGTTAAAAGCTAAAGTGGCAAAGGGGTAGATAAGTGGCAAAAGGCTAGCTACAAGCTAAAAACAGTAAGATTATACTTTTAGTTTATAGTTTAAAAACTAAAAGATGACTAAAGGTTCAAAAAAAGCAAATGCTAGCTAAAATCTAAAAGTAGCAAAATGCTACCTAAAAGCTACAAATGGAAAAGACTAGCTAAAAGTAGCAAAACAATAGCTAGAAGATAAAAGTAGCAATAGCTAGCTGTTAGCTAATGTAGAATAGACTTACTAAATGCAGATAGAGGATAGTTAAAAGTTAAACAGCTAGCTAAAAGCGAAAGTGGCAAAAATTATAGATATGACCTGAATGTACTCAAATGCTAGCTACAAATAGCAATATGCTAGCTAGGAGCTAAAGCACTTTGGTCCTGTAGGTGTTTAAAGTGCTTTATAAATAAAGCTGGTATTGTATGATATGGTAAAATTATACTTTTAGCTTTTAGTTACAAAACTAAAAAGGTGACTTAAGGTTAAAAGAAGCTAAATACTAGCTAAAAGATAAAAGTAGCAAAAGGAGGTAAAACTTGAGCAAGATGCTGGAGCTGATTTCAAAGAGAACAAACACTTTTGAGGAAATTGAGGAGATCTGAATAAAGTTTTGTAGAGAAAATATTACTGAAGTGAAATGTTTTGAAAAGTATAAAATGTAAAAAAGTAAAGATTTAGCATCCATCTGAATGAGATTAATGTTTTGATGTATGAAAACAGCACAAAGTTTACAGAAGTATCTTGATTGCAACAGAACATACAAAAAAAACCTGACAACCCGTGAAAGCTGAATCAACATTCACCTTCAACATCTTCTTCCTTCCATGTCCAGGTTCTAGAGCGTCTCCAGCAGCGAGGCTTCGAGATCGCTGGCTCCTGTGGAGGAGGTGTGGACTCGTCCCAGTTCAGCGAGTACGTCCTGAGGCGGGAACTGAGGAGGACGAGTCAGCGAGGCCTCAATTCAAACAGGATAAAGCAGGAGCAGCTGGACTAGAAACCTCCAAAACAGTAGGAGGTGCTAGACTTTTCTGTAGCAGCCAAAGGCTCGAAGCTGCAGAACTCTGTGGACTCTTTTATTTTTCTTAATTTCCTTGTTGATGTTTCTGTTTTCCTAAACTCGAAAACCTCCTAGAGAATAAAAATGAAGTGCAGCAGGAGATTTTTTTTTTTCTTTGCCGTAAGAAGATACAAGACATTTGATAAGTTTGAGATTGCAAAGACATTTGTGATTGTCTTGTCCCCATAAATCAATTTAAAAAAAGTATTTATATATGCTGGATCCCCGAGCAAAGTTTGTTTTAAAACTTGGAGCCTACATTAGGTTAAAATGATTTCTAACTTACCAGTATAAATTAAAAGTCCTTTATTACTGATTTAGTGTGTTGCATAGTTTTGTCATCGGTGATTTTGTTGTCTCACTAGCCCATTGGCTTCTTCCTCTATAAAATAAAAAAAAGTGTTGCTTAAAGTTCAGAATGTCTCAGTTACATAAACTTAGGTTCAATGAAAGCATTTTTTACACTAAGTACAATGTTTATTATTATGAAACCAATGAAGTGGATTTTTGTTAACTGAGGTCATTTTAGCAATTCATGTCATAAAAAGAAAATGACTTTAGAATAATCAAAATTACATTTTAGAACATGTAATATGTCATGTCGCACCATTTGCCTCATTATAAACTACACACTTGGGACTTGTTTCATTGGACTATAATTTCCCTCCGAGTCATGACCTGTAAATTTTCATTGTACTGTACATGTCTTTGTGTTTTTTACATGGAATCTTTTTAAAGCAAACGTCTTGCTTCAAATATGACTGAACAGATTAAAAGCTTATTGTACTTATCCAAACCGAGATGACTTGTATTTGTAGCACATGTTGATATGAAGTTGGATATAAAGTATTTCTAAGACTCCTGAAATGCCTACGCTCCTTAGCTTTGAGAGGAATGTCGCACAGAAGAAGAAAAACAAAAGTGAAATAAATATCAGCTAAAGTTATGCTTGCTGTCTGATTGCTGTTTTTTTAGAGTGTCGTTTCTGAGGCGAAGTGGATATTAAGTCTTGAAAGTTGACTTTGAAGTGGCTTTTTTTTTTTTAAACAAGATGGGGTGTTTTTCATTTCTTTCACCAGAGAGGTAAAGCAAACTACCAAGGCCATATTGTACCTTGGAGAATTTCAGCTGGTGCATCAACACAAGCCACTCTTTACTTAGTTATATTGAATAGAGTCGACTTCTCCACGTAAGCCCTGTCAGTTGTGTTTCCACATGCTCCTGCAGGGCCAAAATCCAAAGTGAAATCCCACATGGAGGCCTGTCGTCTCGTCTCCGTCCCTTTTGGCAGAATCTCTACTTTCTTACAGCTTTTGCTGTACGTCTTCCTTTCAGGCCTCTACGCCCCAGATTTGCTTTGGAGCTGACTGCTGTGAGCCAGAGGTGCAACTTAGAGCGGTCCTCAGCAATACTTTATAATCAATAATACAATTATTATTATTATTAGAACTGATAAAAGCACATATGTTTATAACCATAGGATTTATTATTTATTTAGTTTGCTAAAATGATTCAAAAGTATGTGCCAATTACTGCATTTTTAAAGATACTTGCGGCAATGTTATGAGGACCATTAAAATGTTATAAGGTAAACCCTTGTTTTCTCATTGATGGTTTTATGTGCCACTAAATAAAATATGCTGTATGTAAGAAAAATATTTAAAGTAGCTGCTAACTATCACAGGATTTTATTTTATTTTTTTACCTACAGAAACAGCCGAAGTGAATGACAATGGGTCAACAATGGCAGCATCCGTGGAAAAACCATGAGGGATTGACAAGTCAGACAGTTTTGATATGTTGGTACAGATTTATGCTCAGATTTGTTCAGAAAAAACATTCAGATGAAAAGATAGGTTGGACTGAGACATTTAAAGTACGGGACTGGAAACAGTTTTGCCAAATGTGTTTGAATGCCGAGCTCTGTTTGTATGTCGCTCCACCGCCCTGCTTGAGCCGTGATATTTATTCTACAGTTATCTTACTTGTTCTTTCCCTTTTCTTTCTCGATTACCGGTAGCAGCAGATTCACTTTTATGTTTCTACCTAAAAGTCTTCTCCAAGATTCTGGTCTTGTCCGACCCCGCCATTTTGATTTACCTACACAAATTGCAGCCAGCCCAAAGTAAGTCAGTCACACAACTGTTCACTTACTGTTTGTCAGATTCTGCCTAGTGATTCGTTTAATCAACTGTGGATCCGCATTTCAGAGTTGCTCATATGTCTGGGAAACTAGTTTCAACTGTAACCATTTGATAAAGTTCAGTTTTTTATCTAGTCACATGGGGTTATGTCTCAGCTGGTCTATTTCAGCTCTCATAGAGTCAAAGATCAGGTCCTCTCTGGACATGTAGTCCATCACAGGACCAACCAAAACACAAACAAACATTGATGCATTTTCCCATCACACCTGAAATTGGTTTTAATTTTTAAAAAAGTATCTCACACATGGTTTGAGCGCAGTGGAATGAAACCACAAACTCATACACAGAAAAGGCAGAGATTCACAGGAAGTCTTTTCCTGTGAATTAACAGTTTATACACCATCACACCAGTCAGTGTGCCGGCTGTACAGCATCTGGGGGGAAAAAAGCATAAGCTAGTTCACATAAAACACAAAGAATTAAAAAAAAAAAAACAGTTGATCCATCCGGTCTTGAAACCAAGTCTTTTCTTCGTTCACTTCCTTTGGGGGTCGACCACTCCCAGATCAGCTGAGAAACAATATCCCTTGTGTAGGTTCTTGTTCTGCCCTTCAGGCCTCCACCCAGCTGGCCATATCTGCGTCCTGTGTCCTGAACTACAACTGGATTTCCTGGCATGGAGGGACTGCAGGTCAGCAGGTCTCTAAACGTCTCGCCTGATCTCAGAAAGAAAAAACGACCTGCAGTTGTGATTTTCTTATTGAAGACCGAAAGGGCCCAACCTAAACAATGGAATGAAAGGACCATGTATGATTTTAAAAAAATGGCACGGTGGCATACAAATCCAAATCACATTAGTATTTTTCTTTCAGTGGTAAGATACTTTCCCTTTTTCTAAGTTTGTAAAGCGGCTTGTACATAATAAGACCTCGACCAGTCATATCTGTTGCTTCAGGCTAATCTGAAAAGGAATTAGACATATTGTCCTCTCAGGACAAAGTCTGCTAAAGAAAACTTACTTCAGGGAAAGGGGTTCTGGTGAGAATAAAGGAATCAGAGATCCTCCTCTCCTTGGCGATGTGTCTGTGATCTTGCCTTCCTCTCTTGCTTTCAGTCTAGTGATTATTTCCAGTCATCAAAAGGGCCTTGAGAAAGTGGCCATCTTCCCTTCAATCCTCGGGCTCTGCTTACTCACCACTGGTGAAGGTCAGAGAATGGAATTTATTCACCTTATCTTCAGAGCATCTAGTCCTCTCAGTCTGCAGTTTGGTGCAAAACATGGCTACTCTTCTTAATGATTGTTCTAACCATGTGCATTTATTAGATGCTGCACAGGATTTAGTGTAACTCCATTTGCAGCTTTCTCTCTTGTTCAGTGTTGATCTGTAGGTAATATTTTTGCGCTGTAGGTACCTCCCACCTTTATTGAAAAAGCCTCTCAGCGATTTCATGCCAGTAAGATAATTATAAATGTAACCTGTGGCACAAAAGCAAAAAAAAAAAAAAACAACTCCCACATCTCTCCCTTGCCATTTCTCACTCTCTTTCTACTTCTCTTTCTTTCTTTCCTTCCCTCGCTCTTCCTCAGCCTCAGGAGCTGATTTCAAAATTTCAAAGGTATCTCATAGTGAATCTGAGAGACTGAAGGCTCATAAATACCTTTATTATAATATAACGGTCACATAGTTCCACTCATTATTTCGAGTGAAAAAATTAGTTCATTTGTTTGATGAATGTCTTCACACACGTCTTAAATGTTCTCAGATGGACAATGGCTGCGGAGTAATATCTCAAATGGGCGCTCACAAGTAGAATAATATGTCACAGTGGCTTTGCTTGAGGTTCAAGTCGATGTTAGCGGGTTTAAGCTCAGAAATTTATGCTTTTAGTTTTGCAGCAGCATCTTTTTGCGCAACAATTGAAGACAACATCACTTACTCATGAACGCGTTCAAACAGGAGTCCAGCTATTGATCATAGACAGATTTAACAATCTGAATACTAGCAAAGTGTAGTCAGAACATTTGAGGATTAACAGAGACTACAAATTATTACTAAAAGTAAAATTCAGTGGATTTAAGTCTAAAACTGATTTTCTTTTGAAGTCAACACCATTCGGGATGGATGTCACGTCTAACTAACCTTAAAAACACACAAAAAAATAAGAATCAGAATCAGAAGCAGTTTATTATTGCCATGTCAATGAACGAGGTTCACAAACTAGGAATTTGCTTCGACATAAGGTGCGAATAGTAATAAAGTAAAAATGAAAACATTACATAAGACATAAGACCTGTGTACACCCACAAATAAAATAAAAATGAAAACATAACATAAACATGTGTACACCCATACAATAGAAAACAATAAAAAAGCTTAGAACATGGTTCAGAATCATATCCAACGCCTGCTGTGCAAAGTAAACCTTTGCCATCTTTTCTTCTCAGCCAACAGAGTAAGTGAAATATATGTTGTGACGTGGCTTT